CATTAGGGTGAGTGAACATGTACCCAAATGGCTTCAGAAACAAATACAATCAAGTGACCCGATAAGAGCAGAGGATAAACATCCATCATCCTCTATTGCTAAACATATAATTGAAACAGGTCACAAGATTGATCTAAATTCAGCTTTTGTAGTGCTGTATAAAAGTGTAAAAGGGCGTATACTAAGGTTCATTGAAGCCTTAGCCATACGAAAATTCAAACCCCCTTTGTGTGTTCAAAAACAGTTTGTTCTTACCTTAAACCTACCCTGGTAATATTGACTTATTATCCAGAGTGATTAGGTTTCAAATTGTGTTCACATTATTATTATTATTACTCTTATCATTATCCTTATCTCCTCTTACCCCGTTTCCTGTCTAGTTGACCTTTTATTTTTATATATAAATGCTCTTAACAAGTATATGTGTGACCAGATTGTTCGAAATGTATTGCGCTAATATATCACATAGTTCTGATAATCTTCGTCTTCTAATATCATTATCGAAATTTATCAAAGGGACTAATTGTTTTAAATAGCTAATATGTTATATGTAACTTTGTGGTTATATGGATAATAGATTTAGCATGTGAAAGAAAGAGTTGTTGAAATTATACGAAAAAATTTTTTCAAGTTATGTAAAAACTATGATATTATGAGATATAAGTTGATTGGAGTTAGTCAGTAAGAGACTTTGGATCTAGGTTTCGTACTTGTTGGTAATCATTAGTAAGCGGTAAATGCAAACAGATACTGCCTGTGAATCTTGTATACCAATGAGCAAGCTTCATAAAAACTTGAATTTCTGATGAGTGTCAAGTAGCATGAAAATTAAATCCAAAGTTTTCTGCTCGTAACCACTAAGATCAAAATTCGGATTAGTAGAAAAAAGAAAAAAAACTTATAAATAGCGATAATATATTGGTCGAAAAAAACCAGTCAAATTTTTGTCAACAAAAATTAGGTATTAATCTATTATCAGAAGGCGTTTTGTGGAGGTTTTAGTGATTAAGTAGTTGAATTCATGAGTCAATTAAAGCTAGACCACCATGGAAAACGTGAATGCATTGGATGGCCGTTTCGTCCTAGTATGGGACTCTTCAGCAGTGCGCATCCACAATCCACGTTTATCATGGTGGTCTAGCTTCAATTCACTCATGAATTCAATTATAAAATTATTAATCTATTATTAAGAGATTCTAATAGCTCGATTCTCGTTGAGATTATGATCAGGACAATATTATATTACTAGTAATTAATTAACCGATAAGTACACATTGAAAATGTATTTACCATGATTCGCTAGGGAGCAGCTTCCAAAATTTTAAACTTTTATATATTCATTAATTCATAGTAATGTATCAAATGCAAAATCTATTAAAATCTACTATATTATGTTATATCAAAGAAGTTTAAAAATGTACAAATACTAAGTGCGAAACCATTGTTACAAATTACTGTGGCCTATCAAATACATAAAGGTTTAACTAAACTATTGCATAGTTATAGTGACTAGTCAATTGTATATCTCAATAAACATATAACTGTTTTTTAACTCTCCATGTAAACATTAGATACATGCTTCTTTATTCACTTGATTAATTAATAATTCACTAATTCATATTCATTAATTAGTTGGTATTTATTACGAAAGAGCTTCAAGTTATGACACTTAATCATGCTGTGCTTGATAATTAGATAATAAAATGGATTTAATAATGATTATTCAATAAAAAAAACTTGTGAATTGTAACTTGAATCTGTTCAAAGAAATAGGCAAGAAAATTTTGCTATCCAGTATAGGTGTCAAAATTTTGACACAAATTAGCCTTTCCAATATATATATATATACTCAACTTTATGTATCGTCAGGTGAATCAGTCTTAGCATGTTGTGAAAATTTTGATGTTATATTTCTGTATTTGTAGCTCACATATTCACACACACGTACATACACAAGTAAATTGTGGAAATGTAACCCAGTACATAGTTGAATAAAGCATCATTATCATATTCACTATTTTGAAGTAAATTAAAAATTCACTAATTTTGTTTTAACTAATATAGGGGTTGTGGAGATTATTAAGTTTTTGATTAGGATCATGAACCCATCGGTGTTAGACCACCTTTGGAAACCTGGAAGCACTGGACGGCCGTTTCGTCGTAGTATGGGACTCCTCAGCACTGCACATCCACGATCCCGCTCGCGGGATTCGAACACAGGGTCTCGCGCTCGAACGCTTAACCAACTGGACCACTGAGCCGGCATCCAATGGTGATAGTGTCTAACATCAACCAATCCGCGGAATCGCGCGACCATCTTCCATTGTACTGAGGTAGATACCTGTCTCTACGCGACATGGATTAGCTCCACTGGTCACGGCTTCTCACTAGAACTCCGAGAATTCCCTCACGAAGATACTCACTAGTGGGCACATTTAAGGCTTGTGGAGATTATTAAGTTTTTGATTAATGCTTAGTAATTTGTTGTTAAGAGTGAAATGTATTAAAATATTGAATTCTTTAACATTTTGTATTCTGCCATATTCTATAGTCTATAACACATAAAATGCATTTGGTGAATAAAGTGAGTTTATTTCGAAGTTGTTTATTTTTTGAAAATATTGAGTTCTGCCAGAGAAATAATGATTAAGATGTCAATATTAATAAGGTATGCATTGTCTTTTCAAAGTACCCTGCTCTCCTTTTTGCTTTTTGACAGGGATTTCTAGCATCAACTGTAACATCATAGAATGATGAAACTTTCATGCATCTATAACTAGATTTCTATCATTTAAAAGGAAATGACTTCATCATGAAAGTTATAATATCTATGTTTTGTCTTTCAAGATTAATTTAGAAATTTAATGAGTTCTAACTCTTTATATATGTGCATGAAGTTAGTTAAATGTCATAAAATTATGAAGTATACGTAGCACTAAATGAGATAAAGATATTGTTTAGACATACTTTAAAAGACAAGTCTTTAAAGTTACTTAACCTCATTTTGTCTACTTTCTAACTTCATTATGTTCTTCACTCTCCTCCTAACCTTTTATACTTGGTCATTAAATGTTATTGTTTGCTTCAAGTTTCTTTCATCCCGTTAATAATCTTCGTTATATTTTCCATTTTTAAATAGTTTTTATTCTGATGTTTTTCGCTAACTTATCATAGTTCATTATACAAACTCATTATGATAAATGAAATTTCAGAACACCTTATTAATGAGACTATCTCATTCCATTATATATATTAAAATCAAGACGTTCAGCGAAGGAATTCTTTACACAGTGAATTCATATTCAAGCTCTACAATCACATATATATATATATATATATATATATATATATATATATATATATATATATATGAAAATTTTCTTAAAGTATTACTTAAAGTTTAAGTTGAATTCCATTATTCCCGTTTATTATTCGCCTGTTTCATCCTAGTATATCACTCCTCAGCAGTACACATCCACGACACCGATCCGCAAGATTCGTTAGATTTATTAGATCAACTATCATTCTATTAGCTAAGTTAAAAAATGTTTATTACTTCTTAACAACTTACATAATTTCTGTAAAGAAAACACTGAGTTTTTTCTCAAAAAATCATTATATTCAAATTCATTGTATACTGAATCCATTTATATAAATGAACATTGAAATAGAGACGGTAGTATCACAAAAACGATATTGATGATTAGTTGATAGATAACTCTAGTGCACTATCTACATTTTAATAACAAAATAGACATATATTATATTTCATGATAGGAACTTTACAGCTTTTCCAATGAAAACAAGCAATAAAATAACCACAAACAATTATCTTCTTGGAATTGTTTCTATTGTTGCCTTATTTTTTTGAATAACTTGGAGATTTTTTTTATTACAGTCAGTGTTTTTTCTGTTTTTCAATATTTTGCTTTTAAGTAAATAAAATACTTTTCAAGTTAGTAATAAGATTTATTGATTAGAAACTGGTTAAAGATAATTAACACATTTAAAAGTGAATAATATTCAATAGATTAATGCATATTTTGTCGCCATATCAACATACCATAAGAATATCTACGCTGATTCATTTATTTAATCACAGTAACTAACTGATATATGTTTACCAAAATAATTTATTCATTTAACAGAAGACATAAAATCTGTAGTCTATTTACACTGTATTGTTATCAGAACTAAATTATTTGTTTATATTTTCAATATTATTATTACGCAAATTGTGCGTTAATATTTTATTATTGGTTTTTACACTGCTTTCTCGTGGAGGGGGTGTTGTTTACGGAATTGAGAGAACGAAAAGCGAATGTCCGGCACTTTAACCGGCTTGGTGGACACGGAGAGTTCAACTAGAGGATTTGGAAAACACTGATTTCAAACTAATAGTGTACATGGGTTCCAGTATCCTGAAAGAACAAATGGCGTATGGACCAATCGTTGATCACCGGCCACCATGGAACTGCATCTCCTCACGATGCTGCACTGCCTTGTGGATCAGACCTTCAGGCCGAAGGCTCTTAAGAGAACCACCTGCTCCGGTTTGGGCACCCGGGTAGTATCACAGCACTCACACAAATCAAATGAGATTTGTATGGCGCATATGTATTTGGTGCCTCCTTGGCCAATATTTATGTCTTCAAATAAAATAAATAATAAAAAATACAGAAGTGAGTTAACAATAACTGTCATCAGTTGAATACATAAACTTAAGTAACTAGATTTCGTTTTCTTGACAAATATTTAAAAGAACTGTAAACTAGGATAAAAGAAAGAAGCGTTTCTTTTCGATAAAAAAACATTATAAATCAAAATAAGATATGCATTTTTGTTTAGGTTGATTTTTGAACAATTATTTTCTGTTTTGTTGCTGATGACTAGACTATTTGTTGAAGAAGGTTATTAATTTCAAACGAAAACAGAAAAACAAACATATCGATGAATTTATGATGTAATAAATTATGTCAAATTTCTTTTACAACTTCCATTCAACTGATTTGATGATGATGATGATGATGATGATGATGATGATGATGATGATGATGATGATGATGATGATGATGATGATGATGATGATGATGATGATGATGATGATGATGATGATGATGATGATGATGATGATGATGATGATGATGATGATGATGATGATGATGATGATGATGATGATGATGATGATGATGATGATGATGATGATGATGATGATGATGATGATGATGATGATGATGATGATGATGATGATGATGATGATGATGATGATGATGATGATGATGATGATGATGATGATGATGATGATGATGATGATGATGATGATGATGATGATGATGATGATGATGATGATGATGATGATGATGATGATGATGATGATGATGATGATGATGATGATGATGATGATGATGATGATGATGATGATGATGATGATGATGATGATGATGATGATGATGATGATGATGATGATGATGATGATGATGATGATGATGATGATGATGATGATGATGATGATGATGATGATGATGATGATGATGATATAAATAATGATCCAACAATCCAAATATAAATAATAATGAAAATGTCAGTTTATTTTTATTAGAGTACAATAGAAAATTAAAATTTATCCAGTATACACTTAATAAATGTAAATTGGAAGACATTTTTCGTATACTTCGTATATTTACCTGATCCATAAATTATTTTCTTCCTTACCCCTCACCTCATTTGTTATTTATTCTCGAATCCATTTTGGTGATACAATTTTTTCTCTCCTCCTATAGATATATATTTTCTATATAACTATATATACGAATGTACAGCTTAAGTAAATGATTTCGTCGAAAAGAAAATTTTCTTCGCTGAATTCTCTTTTTTTATTCAATGACACTATGGGTTATTTTAAAAATCAGTCTATAAATAAACAATTCAAATTGTAATATTGAATGTTAGATCTATCAACAGAAGTACACTTACCTGACAACCATTTACGAAAATATTTTAATGGTTCCCTAAAATTATGCTACAATATGCTTGAATGATTGAAAAAACAATGTAATTAAAAAGTGTAAGCATAAAACCTTCTCCCAACTTTACAAATAAGACAGCTTCTGTTAGATGTAATGAGTTTTTTGAATTGTGAATTAATAAAAAAGAACTCTGATCATGAACTTAAGTAGTGACTATTACTAAGAGTTGACTAACCTTCGGTTACTATTCCATATAATATTAAGATTGTATTTTAATTAGGTTTATTTTATTCGAAAATTGTGCTATTTTATGGAGTTAACAATGGTTTTATTTGGTTGATCAGTTATTCCGTTTCTTTATTTAAAGCCATTGTAGTGATAATTTGATTTTCGTTAGTAAACATCATTAACCTACTTTAGGATAGATTATATAACTAAGAAATCACAACGAATATCATCTAAACAGTTTGTCTAAAACTTAAGATTTCAAGAGAACTTTTATTGTTGTTATTACTTGTCAAAAGTTCGATAGTAATTTGTGGGATTCAAAATACACCTTTATGTCAAAACATCTTTCTTATTTCTTAATTTAACACTTCTTAATATCAAAAAATTATCAACAAGCAAGTGAGCCGACAAATCACTATTCTGATATATATTTGTTTTAAACAAAAAAAATTTAAACCATAGACTTCTTTTGTTATACCATTGAGAAAGAACTTGCTTCAAACTATAATATGTAAAATATGTTGCTATATTCAGCTTATTTTGATCTCAATCGGTTAAGATGACTAATAGACACTGTCATAGGTAGCTGAATATTTTTTCTTCTATGAAACTTCATCCATCGGTTCAAAATCCAATATTACTTCAAAAGACTACAACAATTATGAATATCCATCCTATAAACAGATCGAACATTCATATGTTAGATCTGTGTTTGCTCTAACTGCTTTTTTGATTTTACTGACAATAATATTTGGTATAACTGAGCAGATGATACAATGCTAAAAGTACTAAATACAAAGAATGATAACATGTTTGGTTTCTTCTTCATCCTCACATCATATGTACCTTATTTCATAATTACTAGATTATACCTGATTGATGACTGTGAAGAATTATTGATTGTCAAAATTATATCTATATATATTTTAAAATAAACTTCAAATTACGGTGGAAAACTTATGGCAGATAAAATTCTGTATTATTGAGATTCAAATATTGAAACTTAAGCAACTAATTCTTATCAAATATTACATAAAACAACTGTTTATTACATACTCTTTCAAAAATATACAAATTAGTTTAGATTGATATCATGAATGGATCAATGTTGGACCACTATTGCAAACCTGGAAGCACTGGACTGTCATTTCGTCCCAGTATGGGCTCCTCAGAATTGTCCGCGATCCTGCATGCAGGACTCGAACCTGGGACCTTCGTCCTCGCACGTGAACGCTTAACATCTAAAGCATTTAGCTGACATCCGACGATGTTGACGTTTACCCACAATCAACCGATGATTATTACTGTCGAGAAAGTTTTCAAATATCGTAGTAACTTCAAGTCTATATATAAACTTTGATTTCTGGAAAAGATGAAAATCATAAATAAGAACTTTAATTGTAATATCAACTACTGGATTGCTGGAGGTTCAGAATTCGGATGGATGGTGAGAATCTAGAAGCCAGTTGGGATGTCAATGTCATTAATGTTCAACGGTGTTATTGTCTAACTTCAACCAATCCATGATATTGCGCGACCGTTCACTATTTTCTTCAGTCAGTAACCGCCTCACACAAGACACAGTTGAACTCTACTGGTCACACCCACCACTGAATGGCGGTGTAATATTACTCCGTTAATGAAACCGATATAAGAAATGTGAATACATATATCTTTTTTTGCCATCGGTACAACCCTCATTCGAAGGTACTGATATAAGCTGTAAAACTCAGAAAAACCTTGAGAGAATCACATAACTATTATATCGTGTTTTAGGATCCCCTTGAAGTCTGCGTCCGTGGACATAGAGTTAAAACTGTTGGGAGCTTGAGGTCCGGAGGTTGGGAAGATAATGATGTTTTAATGAGTCAGAATACATTGATACCTAAAAATCCATAGACTTTCATATAGTGGGAGCAGCATCCCCTGCGATCGATACGCAAGCATTTAGCTATTGAACTGGTTATCTCTACATAGATCACTTATAATGCTCTAAAGTTGATCCTATTCATAGCACTTGAACTTCAGTATATTACGTTCTAAACGCTTATATATTCTCAAATAATTTACGGGTAAATACAAGCTATTTTGATTACGTTTGATGAAGTCAGCAAATATTTTGATTGAGAAAAAGAGAGGGCCGTTACTGGAAAGGTTGATGCTGTATTCACTGCGTCCCACTCTGTGTCGACGTGAGCGGGCTCATTTCACCAACTAACCACAACTACCTTCTCAATAGTGGCCAAAATCCCTAGCTACTATGCCACCACGACATCAGTCACCTCAAGCTTACGGGATACCTTTCTGATGTGTGCCGAACAGCACGAAACCCGAGTCCAGGATTTCTCGTCAACTACCCCGGACCACCACATTATGCCGACTAAAATTTAATTTTAATAGTACTTTTCTTCTTTTTTCAGTACTATGAGTTTCGAAAAGTATTTTTGGTTATATTTGATATTATAGAATAAGACGACATTATTTAGGTCAGTATTTTTTTGTATCAACTCTTTAGAAATTTAGGCCAAAGTTACAGGTGTAAACTTAGTTCAATATGGCACTTAGAGATCAGTATAAAATTTGTTTTATGTGACTTGTGAATTCTCGTTCAGTATGACAACTTTACATCCTGTATTAATTCAGGTGAACTGTATTTATTTCGTTTTTACAACAAATGTATGTATTCCTTTTCCTCCTCTATTAAGTGTATGCAAAAATTAGTACGTAAATAATTCTATTTTGATCTAGTGTTGATTTTGAGACTTGTTTGTAGATGTATTTTTAAGGATTTATAAAGTGTTCTTTGTACCAGTTTTCTCTGTTCTGACTTAACTTCGTGGAGTTTTTATTGGTTACCATTATCCAACATAAACGTTAGGGTCAAGATATTGTAGTGGTTACCGATTGTCAGGTAAATGCAATTATACTGGGAACTCAACAAACTTGATACATACATAACAGAAACGACTCCTCGGATGACATAGTTGACCACTGAGTTACAATAGTGCAGATAGGATCAATTATACAGTCATAGAGATGTGATTAAAAGTATTCTTCTAACGATATTCATTGTTCTTCTTCTTAAAATTCGTTTATCATATTACAGAATATGTGTAATGCAGTAAATCTTCCCGATACTCATGACTTTCACATGTAAGAAATTTTTAAAGTAGTAGTATTCAAAGGTAGATATTATTTCATCTAAAACTCATTTAATCTCTTTTATGCATCTACTATATAATGCTTGTTTTAAATATCCATATTTTTTCTTTGAGAAAATTGATATTATCAACTAAATTAGTTGTAAAGACGACAGTTCATGAAAATCTACCGTAGACAATAAAAAGTACATTATTCAAATGTACTGTTAATTAACATAATTAAAACTAATTAATGATATTTATATATTATTACATTATCTTATTTACTCATTTATTGAATAAAATAATAATGGGAATAAACAAATAAATAAATAAATAGATTGACCAATAAAATTTCAGGAAAAATTCAGTTCATTTTTTCATTGGTTCTTTATAAATTAAATAATAACCAATAAGTAATCTGTTTTATTTTTTCTTTATTTTTAATTTTTATTTTAAGAAATAAAAAAAGTATGATTAATTTATATAACACACTTTATTTAAGTGTATTTTCAATTACAAATTAATTACCAAGTAAATATTAATTATTTAATAAAAGAAAATATATCACTTAAAGAGTACAATAATGAAAAACATGCTTAATGTTACGATACATCATCATCATAAACATGTAGATTTTATAAAAATCATCTTATATATTTATTGGATATGTTCAAGTTATGTAAATTGTATGAGATATAATACAGTTTATCAAAATGATGATTTATCATCTGTCTATAAAATGCCTAAGAAACATTCAAGTAGGTTTTAATTATTTATATATCAACATTTTAAAAAAAATAAACTTTCAATCATTCAATGCATCTATAATAAATAATTGTTTAATATATAAGTGTTTAACATTTTTCAACAGTTCAATTCACTTATCACTCTAGGCTAGACCAACTTTGAAAACCTGGAAGTACTGGAAGGCTGTTTCGTCCCGATGTGGGACGCCTTAACCGTTCGCATCCATGATCTTGCACGTTAAAATCCTATACTACGACGAAACGGCCATCCAGTATTTTCAGGTCTTCAATGGTGGTGTAGCATAGATTGGCTCTTGAATTCAACTGTTATAATACTACAATCTCCAAAAATCTCCATTCTGATAAATGACAATAAACATTTATTTTTTAATAGTTGAGATTATAAGTCAATTGAAGTTAAACCACCATGCTTTTAAATTTTTCATGGTGTTTCCATTTTCATTTGACTCATGATTTCAACTATTAAAATTACCATAATATTCAGAAAACCTCATCTAACATTAATTTTTCAGTTGAAGATCATACGTATATTTGATGGTGTATCATATTAAAAATAATGATATTTGTTCGTTTTATAAATCAATCTTTACAATAATCATTTTCTTAAATAAGATGAAATTTTTCCGATCTGATTTATCTACTGATGGTAAGTAATTTATTCAATCGGAGACTATATTTCAAATTTGGATGAATAAAAATTGAGTTCGATTTATTTCTTTTATTTTTAAAATGGTTTTTCTGGTTAGTACTTTTTTAGCCAGTTAGTTTTCTACGGGATGGGGTCGCTAACCCCATGCCCAACCCTCCTCCTTTATCCGGGCTTGGGATCGGCAGTAGCCCCTGGAGGGACTCCAGGCGGAGTAATTAAATTTAAAAATGTTAAAGTTTTTTACATTTTTTTAATTGAACGTTTAAAAGAAGGCATATGATTAGATCAATTTTATCAGTTTATCTCCGAATTTCGTATTATTTCACTGTGCTTAAAAACGTTTCAAAGTTTGAGTAATAATCATTAAAATGAATCATGTGTGAATTAGTTCCCAAACTCTTGGTCTGAATAATTATCCTAATGAGAAATACTTTAACTTTCTGAAGGTGAGAATACTATGAATTTTACAAAAATGAATTAAACTTATGTAAAGTTCTTCTTGGTTAAAATGAATTATTAATTTTATTACACTGTATCATGTTTTTAATAAGACTGTCAAATTGATCAGTGAAAAAAACTGTGTCTAACCGTCCTATTTGGTGAAGAAACAAGAATATATGAGCTAATAAAGTAATAATTGTAAAAAATGTTCTGTATATACTTGGGTTTTCCTAACTGTTTGCAAACACAATCTAGAACTGTACAGAACTCAAGAACTTTAAGAATTTGCAGCATGGAATATGTTTTAGACGATTTAAAATCCTTTCAGAAATATCTAACAAAGTTTTAGCACTAAGATGCTAGTGTTTATTTGCGGTTTGTCAACAAAGATACATACTAGGCGTTTCGATTTATTTTCTTGTTCATGTCAGTATGTATTTGCTCAACACAAAATTTTAAATTACAAGCTTTACGGAAAGTTTATAATACGAAGAGAGATTGTATTTCAATAATCTCTTGAACTGACAATTTTAACATTACTTCCTTGTCATAAAATTATAGTGTATGTACAAACATGCAATTAGTTTTCTGTAATATTAACATATGAGGGAAAGTAGCCATGATTCACGGTTGAACCACCAAGGACAGAATTTGTAGAAAATAAATTACGCTTACGATTTGATCTCTAGTTGAAATTCGTTTCTGTAGGTAGATTGATATACAGATATATCGGTTAAGCCGTGAAATTATTTAAACATAAAGATATCATCGTTGCTTATATTACTAACGATGCATTCGTTATCAAATTGGTAACAGGGATTCACACTACTTTGATTGACTATTTGGTTTTCAAAAGAAACTTTTAATTTCCTAGCATGCTAATCTTTTTCAGCAATGGCTGTAGTGTTCTGAAATACAAATTTTTGGAATTATTGAAGCTGTTGTTAAATTAAATTGTTCATTCAGCCAATACATTATAGTAATAATTTGTTAAATTAGTCGAGCATCACGTCAAACACATCAGCTTTTCTAAAATTCATGTCTATATATCAAATAAGTATGTGACATTTTCTTGATGAATGCGAAATATTTGAAATCCTTTTTATACTATGGACTAATATATATTTGATTGCAAAAATATATAGTATAATAAAAATGGATAGTGGCTAGCAGTGGAATCCGGGACACGTGTTTCATCGTGTTGGGATATTCAGAAAAATATCCCAAAAATTATCCTGTTAAGCCTAGTGCTATCCTTGGACATGAAATAGTATCATCTTATTGGTCAGTATTTATTTAACGTGTCATTTTCCTACTGGCCATTATTGTACAATGTTATCTTCTATCTTATGGTACGTTGTGGACTGCTTGAATGGTATATAAACAAGTATGTTTGAAATATAATGATTCATATATCCGAGGCTGAAACTTGTGTTCTGGACTCAACTGGCTGGGTTAGGCAGGGAAGCGAGGCCAATCAGAACCCTAGGTCGTTCTACGTGTTTGTGCGTCTTTGGTCCGATCAGTAATTCGCTATCCCTTAATCCGCAGCAAATATTTTTCACGTTATAACAATTGGCGACGGGGATGAAGAAAAGATACAATCCAAAGTCATTCTGTAATTGGACGAAATCCAGTCTAATTATTCAACCAATCAGTATCTAGATTGTCATCAGTGTCCTTGAACCACATTGGTCATTAGTCATACAGTAATTGTCATCACAGGTGCTGATTCGAAAAAAATGACTCTTCCTTCCGATCGATTACAGCTGCTCTATGAACGACATTTGGAGTTATTAGTCAAATTCCGCACGCAGCTGCTAAATCACTCATGCTATGAAGACGCGACGGAAGTGGATGGATTGATATCTGAAATACACAGTGAGCTGGAAAATGACAGCAGCCTCCATGAATCCTCGGTGAACTGTACTTCAAACGGAACAGTCATCCATCATGCGCCCAGTGGTCCAGTACTTTCTATTCTAGAAACATGCCCGGTAATGGAGTCAAACTCCATCAACCCCGAAACAGCATGTGCAGACAGTAACATATCCAGCTCACGAGAAGATCTCATTGTTTTGCCAGAAAATGTGTTTCACGCATCAACTAATAATCAAGAACCTGGCACAGTTTTGTTGGACGCGGATTACCATAATCATCCATTATCTACTAATGATGCTCCTTATAAATTTGACAACAATATCTCAGAAGATCTGAACTCGGATGATTTCGAATTGAGTGGTGTTTATCCTCATTATCTGGTCGATTTTACTGGATTCCCTGTGCAATGTGTTTTAAATACAATCAAATTAATTGTAATTTGGGTTTATGAAGACCCAACATTATTTCGAGGGGGAGGATAGACGCGAGAAAAATTTAAAATCCGGACATGAACTCTGGATCTCCAAAAAAAGGGGAGGTGTTGGGATATTCAGAAAAATATCCCAAAAATTATCCTGTTAAGCCTAGTGCTATCCTTGGACATGAAATAGTATCATCTTATTGGTCAGTATTTATTTAACGTGTCATTTTCCTACTGGCCATTATTGTACAATGTTATCTTCTATCTTATGGTACGTTGTGGACTGCTTGAATGGTATATAAACAAGTATGTTTGAAATATAATGATTCATATATCCGAGGCTGAAACTTGTGTTCTGGACTCAACTGGCTGGGTTAGGCAGGGAAGCGAGGCCAATCAGAACCCTAGGTCGTTCTACGTGTTTGTGCGTCTTTGGTCCGATCAGTAATTCGCTATCCCTTAATCCGCAGCAAATATTTTTCACGTTATAACACATCGTATTTGGGACTCGTCAGATGGATGTACCTACATCTCAGAGTTGATGTTTACTTTGGGACTCGAACCCAGCACCGTTCACTTTATTCGTTATCGCGTTATCCAGAGTGAACATCAACTCTGGAATGCAATAACATTCAGCTGACGGGTCCCAAATAGGGAGAAATGCGCGTCCTGGATTCCACTGCTAGCCACCATTCATCGCTGCTTATAAAGCTTGTGAATTAATGAAACATCGAGGCAGTGCGCATAGGATGTACGTACACCAACAAGAGACTGATCAATTGCAGTCCTGAACATCAATGGGAAGATTTAGGCAAACAATACCAAATGAATTAAACTACTGTAATACTTCAATAAAGTTAGTTCCGACTTTAATCTATTTTAAGATATTTGTTACTTAGTCAAGATTCATTTTGGTTGAAAAAGTTAAGAATGACAGATGTTAGCAAGTATATAGATGTCATCCATTTATTTGTTATAACATACATTCTATTGAGAAAATCTTTTGTATAAATAAAATTAAGCAACTTATCAATCATATATTTCATAATAATGGTAAAGATACCATAGTGACGTTATACTTTAACCCCCTTTATTTGAGTTCCTAAATTTTTTAAATCAATCATCAGAGACTTTATTCTAACATCAGAAATGAAAAAAGATTTTAGAGAAAATATTAGAAGTCTGGTAATCAGAGTCACCATAATTTAGTCCCTGGTTTATACTGACGTGTATTATGGAGAAAATAACTATGTATAGCCATCATGTTTATAAGGGTTTACTTATTTATTTATTTAAACACATAAACATTGGTACAAGGAGGCACCAAATACATACTTACTTACTTACTTACTTACTTACGCCTGTTACTCCTCGTGAAGGAGCATAGGCCGCTCACCAGCATTCTCCATCCAACCCTGTCCTGGGCAATCCTTTCCAGCTCCTTCCAGTTGTAATTCATCCTTTTCATATCTGCTTCTATTATCCGACGTAATGTGTTCTTTGGCCTTCCTCTTTTCCGCTTCCCTTCAGGATTCCAAATTAGGGCTTGTCTCGTGATACAGTTTGACGATTTGCGTAATGTATGTCCTATCCATTTCC